CCCTCAGGTTCATGATGTAAAATTCTATAATCAAGGCTTGTAGATGTGTAATTATGGTATGTCAGCTACATTTAAACAAGAGTGTTAAAAGATTGTTAAAGTTAAACTAACACAATTGCAGTGTGAATTGTCCCAGTCTCATTCTAATCTACTGGTGTCACTTTCATTTAATCAGAGGAAAACTATGGACCAATGTCAGTGCTATTTCCAGTGCCCTAACACTCTTTGTTCACATTGGATTTTTAAGCCATTCCCAATCTAAAATGGTTATAAAAAGATAGATTTAAGAAAGTATTAATCTATTAATTCATCCCACCAGTGGACCAGGTTAGCAGGCTTTATTGAAAGTAAGTTGGCTTTAAAAGTTATTAAGTAACCTTTTATATTAAATGGGTGAAGGCAAGCATTTTTTTCCTTGCAGAATTTCTTAAATGTATGTCTAGTTAACAGACAAAAACTTATTTTATATAACACAGACCCTACTAGAAAACTTATGGTGGACCTAAATCACTTAGTTAAAATACTACATCAACCTTAAGGAAACATCAATTCTACATTTTCTTCTACTACGGTGAAAATTATTTTCTAAATCATTAAGTTAGTATAGAAAAAAGCTATACTTTGGTAAGTATTCATATTTACACCATACATTTAAGTTTTAAATTAAGCATGGCCCAGAGTACAACTTACAGGTAAGTATATGGTCAACAAATAGCTTCCAAGTAACTCACAGCGCACATAGAACAGCTACGTTAGCTGGGTACAGAAGAGATGACCAATCATTCAGTTTACCTGGGACTTTTCCAGTTTTCACATCCTGGGAAACCCCTCAGTCCCAAGTGAACAGAGGCAACTGATGATGCCTAGATATCAAAAGATAAGAAATAGGGATTTCCACAGTTCAGCACTGGAGTATTATTTGCCGGATCAGCTAAGGTCCTAACTGAAGGGAGCGCATGAGCTGGCCAGACCCAAGCCTATCAGCTACTATCTATACAGGGTTAGTGCCCTTTATTGAAATGTCTGGGACCCTAAATGTTTGTTCAAGATTTTGGAATATTTGCATAGAAAGTTGAACATCCCTAACCCAAGAATCCAGAATACTCCACAGTCTGAATGCCATTTTTGAATGTCATGTCAGTACTCTAAAAGTTTGGGGTTTCTAAGTGTTAGGCAGCAATTAGACATTAAGTCGTGGCCACAGAGGAGGAAAAAAAATCACTGTAATTAAACTTCCCAAATTCACAGGTGATCAGTGTCTGTCAAGAGCAGAGTAACCCATCATGCCAGGGGTATCACAGGATACTTTGGAGTCAGCCACTCACCTAAAGCTTAATCTTTGCTTTACTCAAGAGTAAACCACACTTTAAACCTCTGCTACGCCTGGAGCTGGGAGTTTCACACAGGTAACTCTTTAACCTACCAAGACAAAGACCTATGCCCAGGAGCCCCTCCTAGGTGGGTCAAATGGACCTGGGGCTGAGAATTCCTCAAGAAAAATTCTATCTCCAAATGCTGATACTGTCCTTACTCTAGAGATGACCTGCTTTCAGTCCACTTGAAAGTGTATTCCTTATAAACTTAACTATTACTTTTACTATATTTTCGTATTTTTTTTCTCATGAGGTATATACCTAGACTCTCCAGTAACAGGAGCATTTTCAATTTCAGATTTTCCCTATAGGGATACTCTAATCTGTACCAATGAGTTATATGTTATCAAAGGATTCTGTTCAAAGAAACAGTATAATTCCCCGCTCAGCCGCTAGTACACGTCTCTCTCTAGTGTCACAGTCAGAATTAGCACTCAAAGTATTGCTGGGAAAGGATATTTAAGGAGCCCCTGGTCAGAGGCTCAGCACCAAGTTGGCCTCATTGTTATCCAGCTCTCCGCTTATAAGCCAGTCCTGGTAAGCAGACTCTTTTCTTGTTCTTAGGAGATCTAACCACTCTCTCAAAACAAGCTTGCAAAGGTCAGATCCTTCTCCTGTTCCTGTATAAGGTCACAAAGTTTCTCTCCTTTACCTACAGTACTGCCCCCAAACTTACTTCTACTTCCCTTTCTAGTATGGGCCACCTCCACTTTGACAGCATGCCGTGACAACTCCATCTCTCTGACCCCGAATACCACTATCCACTGCCTGTTTTCATACTCCCCTAACATCTAACCTGCCTGGCCAGATTTCTTCCTAAAATCCACAACCAGGAACTTGTGACTCCCCAACAGTGTCCTAGCAGATCTGATTAGATCCTAAACTAATAATCTACTCTCCCTAGTACAGCCTACCCAAATTGAACTCTAGGACAAAAACCTAGAATATAATTTCTAGTGGCTCTCAACTTCTGGAGAGAAGGCAAATAAAAGCTGTGACTTCTGAAGAAAACTGGGGCTGACAAATGAGTATTTGACTAGAAAAAGGGCATTGAGAACAGAAGCTGGCTTTTGGACACTACTTTTAAAAACTACTAAGCAGAATCCCTTTCACAAAAACAGATCTGAACCATGAAACTACTCAAGAAGTTTTTGAAACTAAATCTAGAAAAGAAAAACAACATACCTTTTAGCCCTTTTTAAATAAACTTTAAACATATATAGAAGGATATAATGAAGCCCCATGATCATTCAGCCCCAACCATTGTTAATGTTATCATATCTGCCTATCCCCCCCCCCCCCCCGCTTCAGTGAGGTAAAATGTAGATTTTTAAAAATAAGATACTGCTAGGCACCAGTAGCTCATGACTGTAATTCTAACTACTCTGCAGGCACACATCAGGAGAATTGCGGTTCAAAGTCAGTCCGGAGAATAGCTGGAGAGACTATCTCGAAAAAACCCAACACAAAATAGGGCTGGTAGAGTGACTCAAGTGGTAGAGAACCTGCCTAGCAAGTGTGAGGCCCTGAGTTCAAACCCCAGTACCACAAAAAGATACTAAAGCAGATGGAAAGAGCCATAGTAAAACAATTTTCAGGAAGAAATAAAAGAGTAATAATACTCATGGGTTTAGACAGATACCAAGGCAAACTACAAGTGATAAATAGCTAAAACAGAAATTTTAGGCTTACAAATACGTCCTATTTTATAGCAATGTATGGGGAAACTACCAAAGTGTCAACAGAAAAGTCACAGAAGAAATGTATCAGACATTCTCATTAATTTATAAGTAATTTGAGATTATGGTAAATTATGAAACGTTTCATAAAGATGCTGTTAATTATTAAGTATGTCAAAATTAAAGATTGATAATGTTCTATTATTGAAAACAAACTGAAAACAAAACTATTTCCAAGCAATTCAGTTTTGAGAATTTATGAAAGCCTAAAACAGTTCATAATTATCTAAATGAGTTTTCTCTAGAGTGTATTTTAAGCATATAACTACTCAAACTGAATAATTTTATAAAACAGTATAGATTAGGATGAGGTTCTTCCTTTCCCCCACCCCCTTTTTGTGATTCTGGGGTTTGAACACAGGGCTTTGTGTATGCTTGAGAGGCAGGCGCTCTACCACTTGAGCCACACCTCTTGCCCTATATTAGGATGAGAAATGTCAAGGTCATATAGGTAATTAATAGGAATCCACCATTGCAGGCCATTTCTCATGATTTTTAATCTAACGCATTCTCCAACATACCCTGGTACTTCTGCCAAATAGACAATATACTGACTAAAACAACATAAGTAAAGACAACAGACTGGACTGAGTGACAGTGTGGATTATTTATATTTCTTATTTATATTTTCAGTTATATATCTCAAATCCCCTCCATTACAAATGTTAATAGTCTTTATTAGAGACCATAAAGTTAGAAAGTCATAAATAGGAAACAATGTTTCATTTCCTTACTCTGCTACTAACTTGCACTGTAATCTTAGACAAGTTGAATACTTTTTAACATTATTAAACCTGTTTCTCAGGCTGGGGGTGTAGTTCAAGTGGTAGAGCACCAAGCACCAGGCCCTGAGTTCAAATCCCGGTACGAACAACAACAACAACAAAAACCTATTTCTTATCTCTAAAACGTTTATATAATACTATTAGGTAATATTTATTGGTCATTGGCTGTCTGCATCATACTTCATTAGACAGCACAGCAAGCGTTTCTTGCAACAACTACATTTGTAGCGTTTCATGCTACAAATAAAGTAACAGAGACAGTGCAATGTAGTGTTTTCCAGAGGCAGTATTTAAAAGTCCTTCCACTGATGGAAATACCAATGAAAGGAGGAAAGGTGGGCCACCAGTAAGAAGCAGGCGGCTAAGATCAGACATTTCCACCGCAAAAGAACCTGCTTGGCCAGAAGGCTCTTTCTGTGATCTCCATCCCAGTTTGGTCTTCTCAGGTCGGAACAATAAAGTTCTAGCGAGCACAAGTATCTATTCCAGCAGTCAGGAATTAGAGCAAATTACAGAGCTGTACCACCCATGGCAATGATCCAACTAGCACCCCACAGCTTGGATGAGCGCAGCCCAGAGTCAGGGAGGCCACACGAGTTTGCTGAGTGTGCTCGAAGTGAGTTCACGCCCCAGTTCTCAAAAGTCGGAATCCCACCAGCCATGTTAGGAGATCACAGGGCACCGCCGTGGCCCCTTTTGGATGAGGCCGGGGCTCTCGGCGACCCCCGAACCTCAGAACCTACTTTCCAGCGCGCCTGAGGACAGGTTAACCAGGGACTCCGCCTGCCCCATGGTCAAGTTCAGCGGGCGCGCGCACCCCGAGGTTGGGGCCTAGGCCCACTCCAGGCCGCCGCCCTGCACCTCCCGACCGCGGCGCGCAGCCCCCAGCCGCAATTGGGGCGCCCTTCCCGGGAGTAGGGGGGATACGACAGGGGAAGACTGAGCCGCGCGTGGGCCCGGCATCGCGCCCTCGTTCTAGCCCCACTCGGTCCCCGCCGTCTGCGCACCCGCGAGGCCTGGGGCCCCGCGCCCGGCCCGGGCCTGCACCCCTCTGGCCTCCCGGCCGCCCAGAGGCGAGGGACACGGACGCGCGAATTCCTTACCGCTTCACCACGCCGGTCTTGATCTTGATCTGCCTCACGCGAGGATCAGCCATGGTCCCGGGAGCGCGAAGAAGGAGGGGCGAGAGCCGAGGAACCGTGCGGGGTGGCGGCCGGCAGAGGCGGTTAAGTGCGCGTAGCTGCCGCCCGCGCGCATGCGCAGCCTCGCGGCCCCGCCCTTCCCCAGGGACGCGGGCGGGGCGCTTGGGATCCCCTGCAGGTGCAGCTGGTTGCCTCTTGCTCAGTCGCCGCCCAGGTTTCTTCCACACACACACGGAACCTATCCTTCTCGTGCTTGCATGACACTCTTGGTTTGGACACAAGTTACACTTTTCTCCCGTCCCATGACCTGGGCCTTTTGAGAAACTTCAGTCTGTATCCTAGTGATTGGTTTTGTCACCTTGGGCAGCTAGGTAGGCTTAAGCAGGGAGGAGAACGCCCCTGGCTATAAGATTGCATTCTGAAACCCCAGATGGCCCACACTCTGAAACAATTAACGATAATGCCTCTCTGTCCTTCTTAGGGAGCATACTCCCATATTAGGGTCAAGCTTAGGGACTTGAGGGCCTAATGACTCCTGTATGACTTTCCGCTGGCGGCCCCAAACTTGGAAGGGCAAAGAGGATCAAATGCACAGGGTATGTCTTTCCACACCTGGACAGTCACTGCTCGAACCATATGAGAAAGGACCAAAAGGACCCTCTCCCAGCTGCCACCCAACTGGTCCTTACCCAACTGCTCACTTCACACCTTGAGGCGCACTTTTGCTTTGCTGATATATCACTCCACTCTTCTTATTCTTTGTGGTTCTTTCGCTGCACCGGGTGCAGCATCCTAACCTTGGACTGTGCATCCAGGAACTGAGGAGTACCCAGCCACCCGTTGACAGTGTGGTGGAATATTGCTTTCCAGGATTATCTACTTAAGGAACAGGGGACCTAAAATCCGTATTAAGACTATTTTCAGTTTCATTATTTGGTGTCAAGCGGGGCAAAGTGATGTTTGTTTTGCAGTGCTAGAGTTTGAACTCAGGGCCTATACCTTGAGCCATTCCACCAGCCCTGTTTTGTGATGAGTTTTTTCAAGATAGGATCTGGCAAACCATTTGCCCAAGCTGGCTTCGAACCACCATCCTCTTGATCTCTGCCTCCTTAGTAGCTAGGATTACAGCTACTGTGGTGTTTGTTTAATGAAATAACATGCACCCAGCAAAATAAATAAATAAATAAATTCTTTGTACCAGAAAGTCAGCACAGCTGTCTCATCCTTGCCTCCAGTGGGAGAATTCAGGCAAGACTCAGAAATATAGTGACAGTGACAATAAAGTTTATTAGGAAATGAATACACTTTCAATATACTAAAAGCATGTCATCTCTAGAAAGAGAGCGAGAATAATAATTTTTACTCTGGCACCAGTTTTTGTTGAGAGGGAGGGTTAAGAACTTCCCCAGGATCAGCCCAGGAAGCTAAAGTTCTTGTTAAGGTCCCAGGCTACAGTAGTCCTACAGATTTACAAACTATTATTGGGTCCACATGACCCCTAGGATATGGTTTACAGGCTTGGGTCTTTGTTTTGTTAAATAAATATTTATTGTTTCAGGAACTGAGTTGGGGTGACTCAAAAAACACCTGTGACATCCCATGACCTTGGTGGACTATTTTGATCCTAACAGGGGTTCTCAAGTGTTCTCTCAAAGACCTTGAAAATTCTTCCATTTTAGGTTTCCTTTGCGTGGCCTCATCACTCATGACTGACTGCTACCCAACGCTCTTTACCTTAAATCCCTACAAAAATACAGTGTAACTTACCAAGGAAATGTCTTTAGGACTGTTTCAAATAATCACCATTGCTAGTGCATCTTAAATATTCAACTTACAAAAATGTGTGTAACACACAGAAGCTTAGGCTTCCTAGTCAGGCAAACTGGTTTACATTTGGGGTTCCATACTTTAATAGCAACTCAACACTGACACCTAACCTCCCTGCTAGCCTATTTCCTCCTGTGCCCTCTTTACAGAGTAGGCATTGCTATTGCTAACATAGGCATCTACATACACAGGAACAAGAATTGCCCTGGACTGTAAGATTCCGTTCCCCCTTGTTAGAAGTGGACTCATAAAAGTCAAATGGCCCACACTCTGTACCAACAACCATAGCCCTAAATCATCCTTATCTAGGACACTTCCCATATCACGGTCAGGCATGACACCTGATGGGTGTGATGACTCCAAGTGACTTTCCACTAGCTATGCTAAAGTGAGAAAGGCAAAAAGGATAAAATGCTCGGGTACTTGTCCTCACCTTCTCAAACACACAAGTATATGACTTCCCACACCCAAGCAGCCATTGCACAGTCACCAAACCATTTGGGGAGAGCCACAAAGAGAAGGTCCTAATTTCCTGCCACCTAGTAATCCCATCCTATTGGGTAAATAAAATTCCAAGCCCCCAAAACATCAGGGCAGGCAAGTCCTTATCCTTACTACCTGCCTTGGGTCTTGAGATATGCTTTCACTTTGCTAATAATTCATTCCTTACTATCTTCCAGCTCTTTGCGATTCTTTTGCTGGACCTGGAACAGCATCTTAATCTTAGATGTTGCACCCAAAGAACTAAGGACCATCCATCCAGTATGAATTAGCTCAGTGCCTGAGGCCTAATAGATGGTCAACAATTTTGGTTGTATTATATTTTCAGAGATATGCCTGTCACACAAAATGAGGCACATGCTAGTGAGCGTGAGTAGCCTCTCCTGTTGGAGTCCCCAAGAATGCAGGGCACAGGCTTCCTTTATTTTCTTATTTCTTGGTACCATCCTTTAAAGACATCCTCATGTTTGTCTGAAACTTTCCTGACAGTTGATTCACTCATTCTCATGTTTATGGCTGGCTCTGGAATGCCCTTCTATCCTGCCAGTACAAGACTCTTGGTTTAAGTCCAGAATCAAAACCCTACTCTTGCAGAAAGCCTACCATGACTGACCCCTGCCTGCGCAATCCTCCCTGGACGCTTTAGAATCACCCAATGGTAAATTTTATTTTTGGTATGTTTGTTTTGAAAACTTGTTTGGGTTCTTCACAAGGGTTGTATTCAACCCTCCTAGTTGGATTGTAAGCACCTTTTGAGGCAAGAATCTTGCCTTTCATAAAAATCTTCCTCCTCTAACCTCCATCTGTGCTCTGTACACAGCAGGTGCTAAATTCAATACATATTGTTATCCATCTGGCTGGCACACTGAAATACAATTCCAAGTAACACGGCAGAGCTGTGAAATACCGTTGGGGTGGGATGGTGGAGGACACAACAGCAAACTCACCAAAGAAAAATTCTGCCCCCCAAAAAACAAAAACAAAAACCATCAGCTGTAAACTACATATGGAAAGCTAAGACTTCTGCTACTGTCAAGGTCCTTTCTTCTATCAGGTAATAAAATTTATGTAACTCATCATATTTTCCTTTTTGTCTTAGTTTTTAGAAGTTTAGAGCTCAGTTTTGTGCTAATCTGCAGGAGTTTCTCTTAGACAAATACCTACTGTCTCTCCCCAAATGTCTGGTTCCCTACTTTGCCCCATCCCTCTTCATTTTAGTTAGTTTGCATCTGTGCCTTTATTGTAGGACAGTGACTAATAAGTGTAATTCAGCAGCCAAAAGACCTCTGTTGCCACTGCTGATGTGTGATTCCAGGCCCATGCCCAGGTCCTCGAGGACACAGTGTGTTTATCTGTGTCTGTGTGTTCTATATTGTATGCTTGAGGCTATAGGTTAAGATTATGAAGTTTGGCTCCACCTTTAAGGGTAAAGGATCAGATGGACTTTTTCTAGTGTTTGGTTAAGAACATGAATTCTGGGGTCAGATCACCTACAGTCAAACCTTAGCTCTGCTTCTTACTATGTAAAAATAACAAGTCACTTAATCTCTCTATGCCCCAGTTTCTTCATCTATAAAATATAGATGATAAAAACAATATCTTCCTCATAAGGTTGTTATAAAGCTTAAATGAATCAGTATTTGTAAAGTGCTTTGGACAGTGTTGGTACTTATTAAGCCCATATAAAGTGTTTGATAAATAAGTAATTTAAGAAAAATATCCTAAATAAGAAACTGCACTACAAATACAGTAGGATATAAATATAGAAATGTAGGTGCTATTGTTAATGACATCATGCCAAATTCATGTTTGAGTGATAATTTTACATGTTTGACTTACTCTCCACCATATCCAACATGTAGCAATACCTGGCACATAGTAGGTACTCATAAATACTTTCTCTCTCTCTCTCTCTCTCTCTCTCTCTCTCTCTCTCTGTCTCCCTCCCTCTCTCTCAGACAGGATTACAGGCCTGAGTCATCATGCCTGCCTATAACTATTTTTTGAATGAATGAGTAAGCGGGTTTTAAAATCTTTCTTTTCTATCTAATGAAATGAAATGGAGACTTCCCATTCTAGCAGAATGACTACTAAAACATCCTCCCCTCCCCCACACATATACCCCATCTTCCTGCTGGCCTTGCTCCTTTGGTTCTGTCCTTTGAGAAGGCAGACTGATGGATAGTCACTTCAGGTAGGTACAGGAGAGACCTCCTGAAAGGTCATTCTTCCATTGCCAGCCTTTGAGAGTTGAGGTAATATTTTATTAAAGAATTCCGCAGGAGTGGTGGAGTAGCTCAAGTGATAGAGCATCTGCCTTACAAGCTCAAGGCTCTGAATTCAAACTCCAGTACCACAAAAAAAAAAAAATGAATACTACAGATGCCTTTGCAAATATGATTTGTTTTCCCCAAATATACTTGCTAGGCTACCAATTCATAGTCTCACCTTCCTCTCACAGAATTTGTTCTTACTAGCTCCTCAAGATTACACACCAAATTACATTCATACTTAGTATCTCCAACATCATGCCTAATGACTAGTAGAGACACTGAATATTTGCTGAGTTAAAGAAAACTTTCTACTTTTGATGAAAACAAGAGACTAGTTATGGCATACTTGTCTGGGACTATGATGCAATCTGTATTCAATAAGATTTATGCAGGACTCTGGGGCCCAGTGTGCAGTTGCTGTGATATTGTATGCTATTTAATAAAACCAGGTGACCAAATGGAGAGGGTGCTTTTGC